CGCCATGCATTTTAATTGCTATCATTCAAGATCACTGAACTGAAGACATGCTTTCTAGGAGTGCAGATACGAAGAGAGGATTTCAAAGCAATTACTTTCCCATTTTAGTGATAGATGGGTTCCTACTAGCTTGCATATCAGAAAAATAATTATAACCATATACAGAGAAAATGGATGGATCTTTCAATGTTCTCATACATCCTCTGAGGAAATATTCATAACTCTTACTTCTGAAGCTTATAGCTTTCCAGCAGGGAAGAACCTATGGGATTTTTTTTTCACCTGATTAGTGTAAGTTAAACTATTAAGGTGTACATAGCTACTGACTAGTTTATTCTAATTCATACACTGTTTCTATTTTTTGTAAAGAGAAGCATTTTTTCAAAAGAAAACATTAGAAGTTGAGAGATCATTCAGGGAGTTTACAGTTAAGTGTCACTTCAGATACCTTTATTGCTAAGCTGTTACATATGGCACCTAACCACTTCTCTGAGATATTCACACATCACAGAGAATAGTAGTTTTCTCTACTAATTCAGTGTTGTTGTTGTTTTAAAAAAGTGCTTAGGTCTGAAAGGTTGAAGCAACTAATTGTATGAGTACAGGTAGTCCCTGACTTACAACCACAATTGAGCCCAAAATGTATGTTGCTAAGCAAGATGTTTGTTAAGTGAATTTTGCCCCATTTTACGAAATTTTTTGACACAGTTGTTAAAGTGAATCACTGCAACTGTTAAGTTAATAACATGGTTATTAAGTGAATTTGGCTTCTCCATTGACTTTGCTTGTCAGAAGGTCACAAAAGGTGATCACATGACTTTGGGACACTGTAACTGCCATAAATATGAATCTGTTACCAAGCATCTGATTTTTTTTATCACATGACCACGAGGATGAATGGTTGTAAGTGTGGAAACGGTCATAAGTCACTTTTTTCAGGTACTAAATTAACTGTTGTAAGTTGGATATATGTATACTCTTATTCCTGAAAAAACAGAAACTGGATGGAGGGGATAAAGCTGTTCTGTCTATGCCACCAATCAGAAGAATTAAAAATCAAGGATCTATCACAATTAAATGATTTAAGACAGTAGTTGAGCTTTCAAAGAGGCAGGGTGCCTCATCTTCCCAGCTAAGTAACTACAAGCAGAAACTACTCACTTCCCAAAAGCTTAAGCTACAGCAGGGGTGTCAAACTCAAGGCCCAGGGGCCGGATCTGGCCCGCGGGGTGCTTAGATCTGGCCCATGGTGCCTCTGCCACCGAAAACAGACCTCGGGAGGGCTGCAGGTAGAGAGTTGCAGGAAACTGTTGCAACCTAAAACAGAGCTTAGGAGGGCTGCAGATGGCCCTCCCGAGCTCTGTTTTAACTGGCAGAGGGTTGCAGGAGGCTGTCGCAGCCAAAAACAGAGCTTGGGAGTTCATTTTCTCTGGCAGAGTGCTCAGGCCATCATAGGCGCCCCCAATACATGTGACGTCAAGTTGGCCATGCCCACTCTGGCCCTCTAAAGTCAAACACAACCTGATGTGGCCCTCAATGAAATTGAGTTTGACACCCCTGAGCTACAGCAACTCTCAATTAAGTACCATGTTTTCCCGAAAATAAGACCCTGTCTTATATTTTTTTTGAACCCTGAAATAAGCACTTGGCCTTATTGCCATGTGCTCAAAAGCCCAATTGAGCTTATTATCAGGGGATGTGTCATTTTGTCAGAAACAGGGTACTGCCAATAAAGGGACCAATAAAAACAGAATCTTTTCTTTTTTCCCTAATGCCCACACAAAATATCTAGCTGAGTTACAGTAACAGAGTTGGAAGGGACCTTGGACGGCATCTAGTCCAGGCCCGTGCTCTCGCAGGAGACTTGTACTATTTCTGATAAATGGCTCTCCAGTCTCTTCTTAAAATCCTCCAGTGATGGGGCACCCACAACTTCCGAAGGCGGTTTGTTCCAATGGTTATTTGTTCTCACTGTTAATTCTAAGTTTTACATGCAGATTGTAACCTTTGGACACTGAAATTGGAAAATTAAGATTACTGATATTTAGCAGTGCTCAACTTCAATCAGGAAACAATACCAAGGAAAGCACCTTTTTAAAAATTAATTTCTTTTACCCTTTGATTTATTTTACCAGTATTGACTTAATAAATTCATTCCATGCAAAGAGTGAGATGAAGTCAGAGCCAAAAGTGGGTGAAACAATCTTTTAATTCAAGAGCCAAGGTTTCTAGAAGAGCAATCCTACATAGTTCCACACATCAGCACTTAATACAATTTGGCATTATTAACTTCTTTGCAACCTTGATATGCAGGTTAAATGCCCACATCCATATCTGGCTATGAGATCAGATAGTTATGGTAGAAATCACTTTGTTGAAAGAAAGAACTAAGGTGATCTAACATTATTCAAGTGGATGCCACCTATATCTAAAAGCACCAATGAAGAATATAATAGAATAAAAGATACCAGTGAAACAAGTAGAAACACAATAGCAAATTCTGCTAGCTCTGCATTGGATGCTTCTTTTGATGTTGCTACTCTGATGCAAAGAAGCTTTACAGTAATGAAATAGGAGAAGAAAAATGTATAAATAATAAATATGCTACAGGAACTAATTAAGAGTGTGCTACCATTTCGCTTTCATATATCCAATGAACAGGACAGGGGGGAGAATTAAGTATTCAAAATATCTGCACCTGTCATTCAAGAATGTGAAACTTGGCAACACTCCCAGAATCAAACAAAGTTGAAAACAAACTTTCCAGGATTCTCTAATTATTATCTCCTTGAGGTCAATTAAAAGTCACAACACTATTTTATTTAAAAACTCAATAACTAATCAAAGCCATTTATATTATTATTATTTTTTTAAAAAATTAATCTAGCAACCTTTCAATTGTATTGAAATTATAAATTCAAAAAACTGCTTTCACAATTATCCATAAGGATTGTGAAAATCATAGTTTCAATGTATTGGGAAACTGCCCCAAACTTTAATCAAATGTTCCTTTTAATATCAAACAGAATCTCATAAGCTTGTAGAAAGAGGATAGATAACCATATTATTATTATATCAGGTTTCAACTTCTATTCTCCACCATCCTACCATTCGCCAGAGGTTTTACTGTACCTAATCTTGAGTTCTGCATACTGTATGATCATAGGCAATCATGAATTCCATGCAGTAATAACATGGAGTAATAACAAATAACAGTTCCTCCAAAACCACCTACTTTGTTTTCCACACACCTGGAAAATCTCTTGTCTCTGGTGCACATATCTGAAATTTGCATCATGACCACAAAGAACACAACTGATATGGAAGCAGACATAGTCAAGCTGGATAAAATGCACACTAGTATCTTTTGGGGGATTACTATAAGAGTGCAAAAGTTTTTAAAACATCCAAATATATTATTTCTATTTTATTGATTGGGCTCCAAGTACAAAATTTAGCTTGTTCTTTATGAGTATGTTAGATATTTTTGCAACAAAGCATAGAGTTCCATTTCTGGCTCTGCTGAATCAATCATGCCTCCATTTAGAATGGTGGCTATAACATTTGAGCAGTCTCTGGGAACATAACAAATGCCTTTTGCATTGTTTCAAAAGCTGGAGGAGGGAACCCTCCCTTCTGTATCCTGGAACAAAGGAAATCCAAGTCGCTTATACATTTATTTTGAAACTGCATTTTAGGACCACCTAAACGCCTAGCCCAAACAGCAATTCCCTGGATGGAGACCATGCTTTACTGAATTAGTGCCTCCTGATGGCCATTGGAATTCCAGCTTGTCATGCTAGGTCACCAATCCAAGGATTATATTAACATTAGAAGAAAGAGAAGGAGACAACAAAAATGTTTTGACTGTCTCCAAACTGGGAATCCAAAATCAGTTTTTAAAATGCCATGTATGACCTAATCTTCATAACTTCTTTTTCACACACACAAAAAAAAGGAAAGGAAAATACCTTGCCTTTCCTGTGTAACGCAAAAAATCAGAACATGAGAAAGAAAGTGATATAATTCTGAATATATCAAATATCAATATTTATTTAAAAGACAACAGACCAAAACATAAAACACATTTAGTTTACAATTAGAGCCAAGTTTATTTCCGAGAAACTCAAAGCCACTCAATTGCATCCTCTTACGTACACACAAAGAGTCTCATTCAAAGTTCCTAATAAGCAGCATTTTTGTCAGGCTGTATGGTTGCAGGTTTCATAGTCCACATGTATGAAGTAATGCTGAAAACTTGCAGACACAAAAGGATTAGGGGAGCATCTCTTTAATGTGTCACATTAGACATGTGGCGATGTGAAGCCAAGCCCACTTATTTAATGCCACCTAGATACTGTTGCATGAAGCTTGTCCATCAAGTTGTTGCAGCAAATGCAACACAACCTTTAATAGCCATCTTGCCAAAAAGAGCACAGAATTACTGAAACAGTTTATCATTATCCCTATGCAGTTTAAATTGAAGGGCATTGCAGCCAGCTGCCAAGGGTGTGTGCATGCACAGCAGGCATTTATGAAGAGTGAAAGCCTTTGGTGCATACAGCTGTAAAAAGCTCCTACAAGCTGAATCCATAATACTGCCAAACCACAAAGCTTCTTAAGCTATTATAGACATTTCTCAGAGGACAAGTACCATTTATTATCAAAATAAAATTGGATGCCACATTTATTTATTTTTTAAAAAAATGTTTTGTCATGCATTGGTGTGCTTTTGTATGTGCACATGGGAAGACAAAATAAAGGCTTCATAAAATCAAAGATATTTGAAAATATAGTAGTCACTAAGAACCCAGCCCACGAAGCAGCAATCACTGTCAGCCTTTCTAACATACACTACTGAGAAACCCCTGCAAATTCCTGATGATCTGCAAATGCTTTGCCTTTCCACACCCAAACATGTATGAATGCATGCACTAGCAAATCAAGGCTGAAACACATATACACACAGATGTACATCAGATCCATTTTTTAATTCTTACCTTTGACTTGAGTGTCATATTCAGCTATGATCTCCTTATCCTTTTTTAATTTAGCTGGCGACGTCATGTTTCCTCCCCACAAAAAGGTTATCCACCGAACAGATCCTCCAGAATATCACAAATAAATATAATTTGTGTTCCTCCCAAAAGGGTGTGGGGGGAGCAAAATAATCAGTTGGGCAGGCTTGTCTTTCCTCCACAGCAGTCAGTCCATGGAGAGAGGGCGTGAGATGGTGCGTTTGCGAGCAGCAGAGACATGCAGATGTGAAGAGCTCAGCGGACAGAGAAGGCAGCAGTTTGGATTTCCTGCACCAAAATCCTGAGCAGCAGTGGTGGTGGTGGCAGCAGCATCAGACTAGAGAGAATCTGCAGCCCCCAAAGGCTTTTCCTGATTGCTAACATTAATAGCACAGCCAGGGAGTGGAAGTCCTTCTGCGCAACAACATGTTGTGTGTGAGTCTGACTCTCGGTTGCTGCTTCTCTTTCTTTCTTTTTTAAAGGACAGAGTCAGAGATGATGAAATTAAATTCCCAATGGTAGAAGTGGAAAAAGCTCCGAACCACTTTCTTCTATTCAACTGCCTGTAAATTCAAATATGTATTTCGTTGGCAAATGCTTACACACATTCAATGCTACCAATGTGATTTCAAGATGAAAATATAATTCTAATCAAATGGCAATTATAACATGTCACATTAAAGAAAAATGCAAAATAAGTATATCGAGGGCAGATTCTGAAAGGCTATATTATCATCAGGACACATGAAACACATCAAAATGAAGAAATGGGGAGACAAAGAAAAATCAGCCACCCAAGAAAGCAATTTATTTAAAGTAAATAAGAGAGAAAACAACTATAGACATAGAAATATGGAAAGCTAAAAAGGGAAGCCAGGGCCAAATCTTCATATTATTTGAGCCACAAGAGCTCATAAATTCATCCAAAGCCATTGTATAAGCATGGCTAATCCACTTTGGTACAATAAAACTGTTGCCATAGTCCAGCCAATAGATCAGATTTAAGTATTTTTATTACTGTTAGATTTGTCTTCCATCAGACCATATGAGCAAAGAAAAACTGTACTTGATGCAGACATCAAAGCCTATTTGGACTTAGGAAATGCAGCTCAAAGACAGATGTGAGTCTCTCAGCAGGGGGAAGTCAGGGCACAACTTTTGCTTTAGGATCACAAGCTACTGTTGGCCATAAATGTTAAGAAAGGGTTACAGACAAAGAAAAAAAAAAGATCCACTACAAAAAGACAAACAATGTGGCCAACAGAGACAGGAAATGGTAAGGCCAAACAGAGTAAGGGAAAACAAACAAAGAGAAAGTGTGGCTAAGTACAAAAGAGTTTTATATACTTTTGTCACATCAACCAGCTGTGAAATAACTCAAAAAATATATTACCCCATTCCCACTACAGTCCTCTCCTCCAGACAGATTCAAGCCCAAATCTTTGCTCATGAGAGTGTAGAAGTCAAATACAATGAAACAAGACAGTCTATTTATATAGATTCCCCCCTCCCCACATTTCCATCTCCACCCAAGCATATAGATTTCCACAACTGTTAGCCCACCAAGCTGATCACATCCCATCAGGCATCTTTTCTAGCTGATCTGGTAAGGGACATTGTGTTTTACCAGGCCATCCTAAATAGCTGGTGGGCTACATTTAGCCTAGTGGATCAACAGAATATTGAGACAAAGCTCATATTTTTCGCTGGTTACTAAATGTATATTAGGATATAAGAAAGGAAAATACCAGACTGGAGAGGGAGAGAAAAGTAGCTATATTGTTGGGCAAATAAAACTAGGGAGCTGTTGGGTAGAGCAGAACTATTCCACAGACGTTTGCTTAATAAATGAGAAAATAGTTAGAAGGAATCTTTTAGAAAAAGAGATTTTATAGAATGCTGTAATTCTATTGGTCTGGAAACATTACTCGTACGGGCTATTTTAGCCGACTATCCCAAAAGACTAGCTAGAATACAGGAAGTTGAACTCGAAATAGGGGGTTTTTTGAAGCAGTTTTAGGGGAATAATTTTACGAGATCCGGACTCTAACCTGACAGATAGCAATGTCACAGGGGAGCAGTTTGTAGGGGAATCTTCTCGCAGGGGAATATGGCAATCCAGCTCCCGGTTTGTCGCAATGAGAAGTATTATGGGATGGAACCTCGATTCTATTAAAATCTGTTGATTTCTCAAGCGGGGAAGGGGAGGGGGCGAGTCTGGAATATTACGGGCAGGGAATGCTCACATTCTTCCCTAAAAAGGGTTATATATCAAAGTGGACTTCCAGCTGGCACAGGGCGACAATTATACTAATTACAATCAATTATAATCAAGTTCGGGAAGGAAGACAGGAGGATGGATCCCCCTCGAAGGGAAATTATGGGATCGGGTGAAACTGAAGTCGGAAGACGGCTTCGAATTCCAACATCCTAGACGCGATCATTACCTGCACTTCTGGCACAGACCGAGCCGCCCTCCACGCCTCGCGTTCTTCGGGATACTCCCGCGATCCGTTCCCTCCGCAGTCCCACTCCTGCGACTCCGCCCATTCGATTTCGCGACACCAATCGGAATCGAAAACTCTGAAAACTGCCAACGACACGAGCCAATGGCCACGTCCTATCCTCTCTTCTCCACACCCTCGATCCCGCCACTTTTCCGTATCGGCACCGCCCACCAAAGGCTGAAGAAGACCATTCACGATGCTCGCGAGGCAGAAGCTCCGCCCAAGTTGGTTCGCATCCATAAGAGGAAGGGATATGTAAATAGGAGTTCTAAGCCAACCAATCCAAGGTAAGGGGCGTAGCTTCATTCACCGTACGTTAGGAGAGAGGCGGGATCATGTCCTAGCTCCTCCAATGGTTGAGGTCGATCTCTTTTTTTTCCCTCGTCACTCTCCGGAGGCGGGTCAAGCATTTTCCAATGAGATGCGAAACTGTAGATTCAAACTGACAGCCAAAGGGAAGGCTACCTACGTTTGGGGCTTTAAGCGGCTCGGGGAGCGGGGGAAGCGTCCGCCAATTGGGAGGTGCTGACGGGAGTCCGGGAGATTCGGATCTCCAGGTTGATTCAGTGAGTAACCGAGAAATAAAGGAAGACTTCGAGAGCCCTAAAAGCTGGGAATAGTTACGAGAGGCACTTGCAGGTTAGACACACGGCGGATGAATAATAGGGGATTGTGTCGAACGGGGGATCATGAATAAAGAGAAATAATCGAGGGCTCGGAGAGAAAAGCCCCGTGGAATCCCGATGGGCTTCTGTTGAGGGCATTACATTGCCTGCAGTTCAATCCAGCCTTACCTCCAGTCCAGAAGCTCAAAACCAGCCAACCTAGCATTGCACCCTCCTCCCGCTTTATCCTCACCCCCAACCCTGGAGAGTAGGTTTAGCGAGTTGGACTAATTCGGAGCGATCAATATATTTCATGGCGGGAATTGAACCTGTCTCTTGCTGGCTCCTTCATTCAGTATAGGGGTGTGTGTGGAAGGGGCTGGTGAACACCGCTTTAAACGGAATCGGTGGTCGCAGCTTTCCCGAGAAAGCAGAATACAGCTAAAAGCCCTGTAAGTAAAGGGAAGAGAAGAGAAGAGAAGAGAAGAGAAGAGAAGAGAAGAGAAGAGAAGAGAAGAGAAGAGAAGAGAAGAGAAGAGAAGGACTGACTTCCACCCAGAAAGCAAGCATCTTATTTAACAGTAACAGAGTTGGAAGGGACCTTGGAGGTCATCTAGTCCTACCCCCCTGCTCACACAGGAGACCTGTACTAGGGATTCGAACCAACAAACAATCGATAAGCTCAGCCACTGAGCCACCTAGTCAGGCTAGTCCAACCCCCTGCCTAGTAGACCCTATACCATTTTTGACAAATGGCAGTCCAGTCTCTTCTTGAAAACTTCCAGTGATTTGACCTACTGGAAGGGACCAAGGGACATGCTGGAGCCCCCACCCATACAGACTGACCTTAGCATGTCTGCCGGCAGTTGGAGTTTTGCAGATCGATGTGTGTCTGTGCTGTTCTGCAAGTTCTGCCAACAGGTGCTTAGTTCGCGGGGCATGAAAGCTGTGCTTCTGGCTGACACAGAGACCTATCTCTATTCCACAGACATGCCTCCCACCAGGTAAGTTAAGGCTTATAGGATTTGGAGTTAACACTTTTTTGTCTGCTGCTTGCCTACTTTGAATGGCTTCTACACCTGAGAGATTGGAGGAATATTAGACCTTCTTCTTCTTCTTCTTGAACCACAGTGACTGCTCTTAATTTAAATTGAGGTTCCATTTCTTTTTTCTATTTTACCAGCCTTGTTAAGTTAAATATAGTTAAGGTGAGAGGAATGGTTGAATGCTCTTGGGGGAAACACACATTTTCAGATTCTCATTTTGATTTGTGATGCCCTAAAGCAGGGGTCTCCAACCTTGGCAGCTTTAAGCCTGGCGGACTTCAACTCCCAGAATTCCCCAGCCAGCTTTAAAGTTGCCAAGGTTGGAGACCCCTGCCCTAAAGGGTGAGGTTGAGGATGACACAGGCCATGAATATGTTTAAACCTCATTTCTGCTGCTGAGCCTTGTCTTCTATAAAGCCTGGTACTTTATAAAATCTTTAGGTATTATAAATGAAAATGTTTCATTTATTTAAAAAATAACCAACAGCATTGGAGAAAGGTAAGATTTTCTGTAATGGGCATGTTCAACTTGTGATCCAGCCAGTTAAATATAATCTTTGAGCCATGCAACGCTGAACTTTGTTGTGTACTTTTAACATCTTTCCTTTCTCTATTTCCTGCAGAATGCAATCGGCTTCCATTGCTTTCTTTAGCAAACTGCAAGTTGATGAGACCTTTTCAAAATGTTTCACAGTTTAAATGAGGAAAGCAAATAAGTTTTAATGTTAGAATTGCACCATCACTGCTGTAGCAGTATGGTGGAACGGTCACTTTCACTTCCCTTTGTGTTTAGTATGTGATCTAGCTATTGTGGTAACAACCAAAAGAACCAAGTGGAGGGTTGCATAAACCACAGGAAGAGATAATCTCTGTTTCTGACAGCTTCAATGGTTGTGAATCAAAATACAACTGCTGAAGTATGTGGAAATGAAGACCCTCACTGAGATACAATATTTTATCTATAATGTTTATTTATTCATTGAAGAAGGTGTTTTCCACATGACTACATTATTAAATTATTATAATGTGATTACATTATTTGCTCCAATGGGGTCAAAACCAAAACTTGCTAATGTAATCCCCACATATCTGCACAATTTTGCAAAATACATGAGTATAATTGCAACTGCACTGATTTTAAAAAAGATAAAAATTGCTATGAAATTATTTCCAAGATTGCTTAGAATATCCAATTCTGTGGAGAGAATTGGGATTCTAGATTAATAACCATATCCAACTTAATGTAGTTATTATTCAGTACTTTTCATGTTAACCAATGACAAGAGATCTACATGGTTGAGGGGAGCAGGGAGTTCTCAGCCTTACCAACTACATTTCCATGCAATCTGTAGGCTGCACTATTGAACAGCAGGCTTCCCCCCCACCCTTCCTGTGTACTTTCTGTTTAGCTTATACATGGCCCAAAAGTCAATCAGCACTTCAGCAGCTTTTGGATTTCAAAAGATCAAATATGCAAACACAGCACAAAATAACTTTTAAACTTCCTAAAATGATGCAAAGACAGCTGAAAATAATCCAGAACAGCATACATGAAAGGAACCCCTATTATAGCCATTTTATAAAGGCCAAGTCTTTGTGGAATTATACAACTGTTTCTTTGGTTAAATTTATGGCATAAGTTATAAGTACCTGGTAAACATTAGTTGAAATCATGTTATGAGACTTTGGCACTGTTGTTGAACAATTTAACAGTGTGGCTATTGTTACCACAGGAATGTGGTATTAAATTTAGAAAAGCTGGATATTCAAGCTGAGACATTAGAAGGAAAATTTGTTACAATGCTCCAGGAAATATTTTACTGCTTTTTGTTTCTTTTGCTGTACAGTATTAATAGCTTACCATCACAGCTATTGATGTTCTGATGCAGCTAAGTTATTAAATGTAAAACATAGAGCTAATAAGTGGAAAAACTGGGAGTTTTTAAATGACAAACACAACTGATAAATGCTACCTGCCATCTGATTATTTTATATCATGTCAAAAGCCCCAAATGATTTTAAAAAATGAATTGAAAATGTGCATTGGGGATTGAAATGTTGTTAGGATTTTTTTTTCTTCCTAGCATTTCCCCAAAAATGTAGGATTCATTGCCACTGAGGATGGAAGAAGACAATGAAGATTTTGTGTTTCTACCTATGTTAGCCCTACTTGGGACCCTGAAGTCCCAAGTCAATAATGTTATGAATCCAATCAATGAATAGAGATTTAAGCAACCCCTTTTTACAATATCCTTTTGCTACAATTCCTGTCTAGGCCTAGAGCAGAGCTGCAGAAAGTGTTGCCAATGGATTATATCTGATTCAGAGAACTCCCAAAGTGGGCAGGTGCTAAATTTTCAACTAAGAATTAATTCACAACTGAAAACTTCCCATTTACCCTTATTCCAATGGATCTTGGTTCCACAGGCTTTTATGGGTGTAGCCTTTGACATGCCACAAAAGTTTTATTTAGCTCTCAAACCAGAAAATTGCAAAACACATGATTGCATTGGCACTATCACCTATATCCCCTCTGCTTCACTGCAAGAACTGTAAATTATATCGGCATATAATATAATAGAAACAGACACAATACGGCACTGTAATACCTGTTACAACTTCAATCAGTATATTCTATCAAAATACATAGCATGGAAATACTGTAAGCAATGAAGCATCCTCATATATTTTCTTAGAAATATTCTAAGTATATTTATTATTTAAAATATTAGAAATATTCTAAATAATAATGGCAATATTCTAGTCTGCAATAATTATGGAAATAAGTTCCAAACATTGTTTGTTTGGAACTTAATATCATGTGTGCCTAAATAGTTTCTTGAAAGACTCATAAAGCTAAACTTCAGAAAATTATTTAATTTTCAGCCTATAATTTCAGGGTTTTCTTTAAAGCATGAATAAGGTCTTTTGTTAATTATGTTCTTCTCAATCAAAACTGAATAAGTAATGGAAATGTGCCACTACTTTATCTTAATAACTATCAAACAAATAGTTTCTATTTTTTTCCCTTCCATTCGTAGTGCACATCACAAATCTTTAGAGGTACAATCTAAAAAATAGATCAGTGGAATTATTTTGCTCAGTTTGGGCCCGATAGGATGATTCAGAAGAAACATACCCACCTACCATACCCACCATTTAGACCTAATGGATAGGTCTAAAAATGAGTTGTTGTAAATTTATTGTAGCAGCATTGCCAGTTAATCCAGCAAATAGTCTCACCTGTATTAATGAAAACTTGAGGCTCTTGGTTAAAATTCTGAATAAATTAACCTAGCTGCATTGCTTGAATGTTGGCAAAGCAGCTACTAAATTTTTTTTAATCCTATATTGCTAGCTAGAAATATAATGGAATGTTATGTTATACTGTAATAACAGTAACAACATCCCTTGACAATTCAGAATGGTGTTCAAGTTAACAGCTCTATGGAAGGTAAAGTTGCTTCAGAAGTTTGACACCAATGGGCCTGCTTTTCAATTTTGAGTAATAGGCACATCAAAATATTTTGAATTTTATACATCTAAACTTTGCAATGCAGTTCTCTACTCAAAGTATCTATAAAATGTTCTTTAGAATATATTGGGAAAGGCAAAATACCTTAAAACTATGTAATTAGTTACATATGTGTTTTCAAATTTTGTACATTTTTTAAACTGAAAATTCAAAACCAAGACAAAAGGAGTTAAAATGAATATATCTGAAATAGATACTAAGAAACTGACTAACATCTCTACCCATGTTGCTGCTGATCTTTGACTACAATAAAACATATCTAAGTGCCCTTGAAAAAAGCATGAGACTGCATTACAAAAAAAAAAGTTTCAGATTTAGGAATATTTCAGAATAGAATGTTTTAGTTGTAGGCATATTATTTGGAATTGAATATTCTTAAAGCTGTTCGTAGCTGTTATCTATCAAGATTAATAGGATTACAGCCTTATAACCCCACCTAATGATAGTAGGATTTGTATCTATGGAACTTACTCTGTATTTAGTAAATGGGATTACAGTCTTGAAGAACAGAGTGGCTGGGTTTATGCAACACATTAAACCAAGTCCAAACAAATCAGACTATTTGTGCTTTATGATTTGCAGAGATCCTGCATATTATCTATGTAGTTACTATGTAGTTTTAGAAAGCAAAACAAAATCACTGCATTGGTTTCAGTATGAAGAGAAAGGCTGATTCTTAATTTTTCATTAAAATGTTTTTCTTTCCAAACTTAGGATCATAATAGAAATGTTCAGTTTCATATCATGAATTACAATACTATTTCCTAAGCCATTACACTGATCATCCTGATTTGAGATAACAGGCAGTGTTACACCCGTACATCTGAAACACATCAAATTGGGGAAGGCTATACTATAGAAACCAGAATTGTCTTAATTCTAGCATGAAAAAGGCACCTATAAATCAAAGTTCCTTTGACAACCCAGGATAGTTTCTTCATTTTTGGAGAGTCCATACAAGAAAAGGACTTCTTGTTAAAACTTTAGAAAGCTGAATTTATTTACTATTTAAGGTAGTTTTACTGTAGTTCTTTCACAGTAGAGAGGTTTATGATTGTGGAAAGAGACGTACGTAAATGAAAAATAAACAAGGAATAGCATTCTATTAGAATTTTAATTGTATTATATATTTCATAGTTAAGCAATGATAAAGTTTATTTTAATCATTTCCAATATCTTTCCTTTCTAACCCTACCAGTACAGTTGACTTCATTGGAAACTGTTATTACACTGAAATGTGCAAATGTAAACTGATGAATGTTGCTTGTTTGAAATGGTGAGTAATATTACAGTATTTTTAATATGTAAAAATATTGTTAACAACTATGTCTATTGCTCATTTCTATACAAGAGTTAAAAGAGATGTGATTACTGCTAAATACCGGTAATCGTGTAAGTATTGAATTAAAAATACAGTAATCTAATGCCTATTTTGGGTTTCTATACCAAAATAAGACATTCAAGGTTTCCAAATAAATTGTAGCCATATAAGTGGGTCATTAATGAGCTGAATTTCCACTTACAAAATTGCTCTCCATTTTTAATGGCCTTTAAAAAAAAAAAAAGGAACAGCAGATGTAAGATAGATGAAATTTCTCTTAGTATAGGAAATATAGGAAATATTGAACATTTTGAATTTCTGTATATTTTGCATTGTTGTCACATAAAGAACAGCCAGTTAGCAGTTATGAATTCAATAGCTGAAAATCAAGGTTCACATGGTTTTGATCATAAAAAATGGGACTGCGGGTTATTTTTTTATTTTTTATACTGGGTTTTGGCTGTTTGTAAGCCACTCAGAATCACTGTGAGAGAATGGGCAGCCATATAAATTTTCCAAACAAATAAATAATTCTGTATGTGTATAAATTAGAAGTCTCTGCAGCTGTTTCAAGCACTCTCTTATTTTAGCTATTTCTCTCAGAGCTTGTCAAATTTGTGTCCGATGCACAATAAATTGGTAGCTAAAGTGAAATAGAATAAAGCGTTGATAAATGTCACCAGCTGGGATGGGGTCTGCTGCATCAGATGACCCTGCTATTGCAAGGCAGAAAGAAAGCTTTGGTTAGAAAACGGGGGTCCAATTTTAACCAAACTAGCCTGAAACTGCTATGAAAATATGTGGGAGCACCAATAAATTTGAACAGCATAAACTGTTATGCTGGGCTTGGATTCCAGAAGTGAATCAACTGCTCAGGTCCTCCTTGGCTCCAGTTTGAATTATATTGCCATTATTTTAATTATTTTGCTGTTTCACAAAAAAGTACTCCAAATTCAAATAAAAAAAAGTTGACAAATTATAGAACTTTGCAATAATATATTCATATTTTTTCTTTTAATTTAAGAAAACAGAAAGCAGATAACTATTTTTCTTTGTCTGTGTGTATGTGTATGTATGCATATGTACTGTGTGTGTAGGTGTATATGTGTTGTCTACTGGATGTGAATTTGACACAGAATCAGTAAGCATTAGAGTTCACAATTTCCAGATCTATTCAGTTTGGGAAGAAAAATTAATCTTCCATTTTAAAGTTATGTTTTGTTTTCTGTTGGAATTGAAATTAATTTAACGTATTTTATTAACACAGTAGTATATTTGGAGGTTAAAGGTACAGATTATTTCTAAACTCCATTTGGCTCACTATTTAGTCCATTGCTACATTATTTTTGGTAGATGAAAGAATTTTATTTTTATTAATTTGATATGTAAGTAGGATACATTTGCATATCTATCATTTGTATAGTTTGTTTTTTTCTTCATAGTCTTTGATTTAAAATTTGCATATCATATACTTCATTTGCTCTTCTAGCGGTAATGTTGTAGGCTACCATGTGATTGCTCCATGCAAACCTTGCTTGTTCTCTTGCAACAATGGACACTTCTGGATGTTTCACAGTAAAGCCGTTTTTGGAATTGACAGATTTGATTCATCTGGTATGAAACTTCTACTCTGCACATGAAATTAATTGTTATTATGCTTCTGTTGTGTTGTAACTCAGTGTTTTTATTATAGTGTAATGCCTGTTATAAAGCATGGACAAGGAAAGAAGAACAAATTTCAGATTTATTGGATCTATTTTGTTTTTCATTGGTAATCCCATAGTCCATCAACCAGACCCCAAAACAGCTGCTTAAGGAAGTGAACATATTCTTAATGTTGAAATAGAGTATCTTAATCATGTATTCTGCTTAGGTAATGTGTGATTATTAGCAAATACTTTTTCCAAGAAAATGCTGCATGTAAACTAAATTCTTCAATCTCTTAAATCATCAGACTGGGGCTAATTGGTCAACAAATTTAATGTAAATTTAAGGTGATATGTGTTGGATGTTACTTAATGCAAATGCCAGATGGTAGTGCAATGAACTCATTGTAAAACCATATGCTATGGTTACATGCTATTAAGCAAATCTCTTCATGAGCAACTACACTCAGAGATGAACAGTTTATAAAGCAGGCATGGTAGTACAATAGTTACATTTGCAGTCTTTTTCCTTCAGAACACCATCATCTCTCTTTCCCAGATTAATCAATAGCATATACATTCTGCCTGTATACCACACTGAGCTATACTCTGTATAATGTTTCCATCCATCATATGTGCCTTTCTTTCACTTAGAATCCAATTATCCATTTGACCGCTGCTTGCTATGTTTTTATAACACATGCTTTACTTCCATCATATTCCACTTTTTACCACATTCAGCAACTTTCATATTCATTCAAAACATTCCCTATATTGAGCCTATACATTATTATAAGCTTTCTCTAAAACAATGGACAGAGAATAAATTTCTCACACTTATTTGTTTCACAGTGACTTGCTGAAGGATTTGCACACTCCCAAGTATAAAACTTGCCAACTTTTACTAATTGTCACCCTCATGTCCTTTAGGACAGAATTCTACCAGCTAACTTTCCAGAGTCTTTTAACAGTCTAATGTCCATCTAGTTTGTGATTCACATTCCTCTTGCATAGGAGTATAATAGCATTTCTTTTTCTCTATTTTTTCCTGTCATTCCCATTCATCCTTCCATTCATATCATACTTAATAAAATGCCTTTTCCTTTAAATCATATTCATTCAAAATGTTGTACATTATATTACATTTACATGTACAATTGTACATTACCCCTTGCATCATGGACATAAACTGTTTAAACTCCTATCCTCAAAACGACACTATAGAGCACTGCACACCAGAACAACTAGACACAAGAACAGTTTTTTCCCAAATGCCATCACTCTGCTAAACAAGTAATTCCCTCAACACTGTCAAACTAGTTACTAAGTCTGCATTACTATTAATCTTCTCATTGTTCCTAACACCCATCTCCTCCCACTTATGACTGTATGACTGTAACCTTGTTGCTGGTATCCTTAAGATTTATATTGACTGTTTCCTAATATGATTTGATTGCTTATTTGTTCCCTATGACTACCATTAAGTGTTGTACCTTATGATTATTGACAAATGTATCTTTTCTTTTATGTACACTGAGAGCATATGTACCAAGACAAATTCCTTGTCTGTCCAATCACACCTGGCCAATAAAGAATTCTATTCTATTCTATTACTTTCCCCACCTCCAAGCCTGATTCTTGCATTGTTACTATTCTCTGGAAGGTAACACACAACTATTATATAATCAAATTAAGACTGCTGCTTTCATAGACACAGATCAACGTCAATGTACCAGTTCATATTTTCTGACCTATATTTAGCTCTTTCATTCATAAATAAATCTACATAAATCCCATTTATCAACTCCATTAGATCAGACTACTTTCACTAACATCTATCCCACCCTTCCTCTCCCTTGGTTTCACAAATAGACAACAGAATTATTTGTCTTCATTTCCATTTAATCTGTTAATTCACTGTTAAATCTTTGTCATCCCATTCCTTTTATATTCCAATTCTCTATCTTCTATATGGGCTCACAGATATTGGTATGTTCTGTCCATCATGCCTTTGGTCAGTCAGGGCTTTTACATAATGCAGTTAGTCATTATAAGTCAAAAAAAGAATAGACTAGATTAGTAGTGTTAGTTGTATGCTTATGCAGCATTTCTTGATAACATGAGGGTACAATGTAGTCTGGATATATTTTATCATAGGTTAATTTTATGTCAAACTTGCTTATGCTGGTCTCTGCCAACTAAGGTCTATCTTTTGCAAGTCAACACTGCAAATTAACACACTGTTACCCATATCCCACCAACTGAGAGGTACATCAATGTATTAATATCCTCAGGATATGTTTTCTTTAATATTGTGCCTTATTAAGTTAACTTCAGATCATGACCACAAAATGTATAAAATACCTGATTTACATTTCTTTTAGGTACAGATTTCTTGCTCTGGGGCAACTTACCAGATTTACATGAAAGCACTGATGAAGATGTATCCAGCACCTCTGAGGAGGAATATATCAGATAAATATTATCTGCACTGCACTGCACCACATGGTGTGTTTCTTGTATTCACAAGAAGTATAATGCATTGATCCCAGGAAGACAGTACAAAAGGAAGGAAAAAAACGTTCAAAGGCTGATACCTGTCATAGAAAACTATCTGATCTAGTAAGCATCCTGCTACATAATGAGACTAATATGTAAAGATGAAAATGCAGTTCTTGTTCACTTTCTAAAAAAGACAAAATCCATGTATATGCATATTTGGCTTCTGGAGTCACTTGATTTTACCTGTTTCCAAATTATGACAAACAAAATCAAATAAGTTCCACACCCCTATCAATTATTGTTACATTACGATAGATCTAATAGCTATATAAGAAAATAAATCCTGTAGTGCTTGATAAGTGAGTGTTATCATTTTTCTGGCCCAGAAACTAGGCTAGACCTCTCTTTAGTGGCTACATTTAATGTTGTTGCCCAGAGAGCAGGCATTACAAATTCTCCTATTGGCAGCCTTCCAATTTCAGGTGTTTGTATTAGAGAGGGCTAAGAGAGAGCTCTTAAATATAAACCTTTTTCTGCATATATTGTATGAGTGTTCAGCATTGCTAGAAGGTTAGCTTTCAAGGAAATCTAGTAGTGATTTTTAATTGCTAGTGCACGCAAGACCAACAAATGTGAAGATTTAGTTTGGGAACTGGCATATTTTCCTGCTTCTAATGGAAATAGAAGTTACAAGGAAAGAGTAATAAAAGAACTGGAACCCACTATTTTTGTGTATAGGGAATATAAAAAAGTGTGTGATCAAATAAAGTGATTTAAAATTAATAGTACTCATTTCTAGCTGAGCTCAGATATTTTTTATAGTTCTTTGAAAGAAGGAAAACCAGGAATAGGATGCTGGAAAGGAAGTTATAAATGCAGGGTCAGCTTCAGTAAAATATTATCCTGGCTTCTTTATTGTTGGCACAAGACTATACCTAGCATGAGTCTCTCTTGTATTCTAAAATCAAAAACAGCAGCAGCTAAATAGCTACAAGTAGAACAGCCAATTCTTCCCAAATTAATGAAATATCATCTGGATTTTTTTTAAAAGAGAACTAATGTGCTTTTGGCACGAAAAATACTATATAATTATGTACAAGCTGCTTTGGGACTTTCAGTGGTCTTGTTACCAATTATTTTAGATAGGTCCAGTATCATTTCTAGGAAATGAGTACATAAGTTTAAATCAACTTTTATTTACTTGGATGGGATAATCCAAACGCAAAGGGGCCAGATTATACTAGAGGAATATCAGCTTGCTTTTATTGTTATTTATGTTTGATTGCACTTAGGAAGAAAATGGACTGAAATACATTGTTTGAAATCTATCATTCTAAACCCTGAAAAATACTTCACCTTTGATAGCTATAGAAATCTTGGCCACTCTACAGCTACTTACCAGTTGCAATATCCTGTATTTTGTGTGCTATGTGTATCAGAAACTGGAGAGCCTTAGATTTTATGTTTTTTTTTAAATTAACTAATAAAATTCCTAATAAAGTGTGAAAAAAGATAGATGAAATTTCAAAGACAAAGTCATAAATGGAATTACCGTATTTTTCGGACTATAAGATGTACTCCCCCCCCCCCCCCCCCAAATGTGGTTAGAAATATCTGTGCATCTTATACAGCAAATGTTGCCGAAGCCCCGGCCACCCACCAGCTCCCACTCTTTGGACATTTTTGGCCTCCGTTTGTCACATTTTTGGCCTCCGCATGGTCCATTTTAGACCCGTTCCAGGCTGCGGGTATCGCCACAGTACATTGCCGCCTTTGCGTGTCATGTTTTGGCCCTGTAATACCCCTATCACTAACTAGAGCAAAAGGGAGAATCAATCCCCACTCCCATCATTCAAAGATGAGGCAATATCATCAATGGTACCGAAGGCAGATGAAAGATCTAGCAGGAGCAGGAGATTGCACGCACTCCATCTCAATTCCACCACAAGTAATGCACAAAGCAATCAAAGGAGTTTTAGTTTAGTTCCATATCGAGACCTAAAATCCAACTTTAAAAATCCAGATAGTCTGCTTTATCCAGGGTTTTCTGGAACTGTAGATATGTAACCTCCTTGTAGAACTAGCTAGATATTGTCTAGAAATAAAAATCAGACAATTATTTTTTTCTTCATCAAATTCATTAGGGATTGATTCTCAATAAAGAAATTAGATAGCGCAATCAGAATTGTTTTGTGGAGAAAAAGAGAACTATGCAGTCCAATTTAAACCAGAGGCAAAAGCATTTACATCAGTTGTATCCTTGGTATTCAGCTTGCCTTGTTTGACCTTTTAGTAATTACCAAAATCTGTACAAGGTTTCCCAATATTTGATGATCGTAGTACAGTGTAATGTAAATTCATGTAAGGGTAGCAACAGGCTATAATATAAGCCTTCCTACTGAAAGACAATTTTACTTACATTTTCCAGCAAATAATTGATTAAACTAGCTCTCTATAAATGAAACATAATTTGTACTGTAGTTATGAAATAGAACATGGAAGAAACCAAATGAGTAAAAATGTAGGAACAGGAATGGGTAAAGGTATTTTATAACAAGTTAATATTTATTCTTCATCTTTTTTTTTGATAATTTAAACATGAAATATTTAAGCTGAATGCAAATGTGTACATATTCGTGCATGTGTGGTGTGTGTGGAGCAAAGAGGTCACAAGACACATGGTAACATGCTTATTGTGAAAAATGGGTTGAAGGCAACCCCTTGCAACCTTTTTGATTGAACTAAGACACTAGGTCTGTGATGGAGAACCTATGGCACACGTGCACGAAGTGGCACGCAGAGCCATGTCGCCTGGCATGCTTGGCGTCACCCATTCCTCTTCGGGGTTTCTGGCACGCATGCGCACGCGATGATCAGCAGGCCTTCGTGCGTGCGGCAGTGCTGGAATTTGGAAGAGCTGGTCTTCCATTTTCCTGGGTAATCATTCTGGCCGGCCAGCAGATCGTTGCACACACATGCGCACCAGAAACCCAGAAGACTAGCTGGCTGGCACACATGCGCACACCGGAAACCAGAAGTTCATTTTTGGGCGCGCACATGCCCCCTGGGCAGCTCCTCTTCCAGGTTGCAACCCAGACGAGTGCTCACACACTGCCGAAAAGGTTCACCATCAGTGCACTATGAGTATTACATGAGATGAGTATTACATATCCAAGTATAAGAAATATACGTGTGGTATTGTAAAAGGCAGACATTGAAAGAACCACATTAAATCTCCATTCCAGTAAACTGTGTGGCTTAGCGTCTCCCTAGCTCTGTTGTCACTCATATCAATGTAAAATGCACTGTAGCAGTACATTCTCTTTTCATAATGCATTATTTAAGACTGGTTGTTGCTGGCAATAAGGAGTGAAGAGAAAGGAAGCAAAAACTCACAACAAGACAATGATACGTTCTTTCCACTTATTTCCAAAAGGAGCTATATGGGGAAGTGTGTGGGTGACTGATTAAATATATATGCTTATTTTAGAACAAATCACTGCATAGTATCTAAGAGGCAGTCTATGCTAAACACATGCAGAGAGTCGGTCTCCACTGTAACACAGTCATTGCTGTGATAGAGTGCCGCTGACAAATAGCACATTGCAAAGACACCAGAACAAAAGACTGCCTCTAATTAATTCTTTCTTTCCCAACTATTAGGCAAACTTGGTGTAATGCAATTAAAAACTACAACAACCAGAACTAGAATTAGTTTTAGCAGGATAAATTAAGTTGGCATTTGTCCATATAATGATATATGCTGTATTTATCGGAATGAAGCGTTAAGCACCAAAAAAAGGTAGATTAGAGACAGAAAGAAATTCTGACATTTCTGTTATTAGTCTGTGCAAATTTAAAAGAGGACTGTTCCTTTCAAACAAATCAGTATTTTCTGAGCAGCGCAGACTTTTCAAAATGGGTTTCATGGAACAATGAATATGTGGACATCAATATCACTCTTGAGAGTAACATTTCACTCACGTATACAGCTTCTGTTAACTCTTTTATTTTGTTTTTAAAGCAGGATAGAATAAAAGGATAGAGCGTGTACTCAAATTCCTTTTTGTCTACTTTTGGCAAACTGCTCCCGAGTTTGACAAAAGCAGCAGCCACAGTTCTTTGATTTCATGTCTATCTGCCTTTTATCAACTATTTCCCTACCTCCACCCTTTTTGTGAAAATGTAAATTTTTACTAAAAGCATTTCAACTTCCTATTGACTGTACATCCAAAACCTGGTTCCTTTTGGACAGATGTAAAATAAAGCAAGTTATTTAATTCTTGAGTTCATCAGACTCATGTTTCATGTGGTTTGGGTTGTAGTGTTCTGATGACCTTGATTCTTCAAAATACTTAGAGTTTTTCATATATCTGAGTAACATATCATGGGAAATAACTGAAAAATTCTGATTTCCTTTTGTACATCACTTTATATAGGAACAGGTGCTCCTGCTTGCAAAGCCACAATAACTGCAGAAATGCCCACTCCCCGTTCGCTCCTCTTTTGTTTCCTATGGGAGGGGCCAATCACCTCCAAGGTGTGGCTTTACTCCCAATCGACCCTGCTTTCTTAGTTGTTCTTGTTTTCTGGCAGCTCTGCGCATGCACACACTGGGGACAGGCTCCAGCTATTCCTCTGTCTCACTGCTGTCTAGCTCCCTCTCTGCCTCCGATGCAGAGCCCTCATCCAAGCTTTCCCCAGCCCCCAGAACTGGCCCATGTTCCTCCCCAACCTCCTCATTGTCCGACTCTGCTGCCAACTCCGCTGGCCGCCACCGGGCCACAACATAGACATATAGAAGGACTCAAAATGCATCAGCAGGAGCATTCAAGAGGAGAAGTTTCCATTTTATGACTTAACTCTCCCCACACATACTAACATGGATCTTTTTTTAAAAAAAAAAAATTATTTATTTATTCTATTTGTATGCCGCCCCTCTCTGAAGACTCAGGGCGGCTATACCCTATAGTATTGATCACATATGTGGTTCTGTCTATGAACCAAGATGCTATGTTATTTCAAGCTTGTAAAATTTGGTATATAGGTATTTTTCTAGTAAAGTTAATTCTGGCGTTGTTTCATACTGGTTAAGAACAGCAGTCAGAGATTTAGATACACCTAACATTGATCTGATGGGCTTAAAGAAAAAGAGGCATAACATTTAGGTTCTCTGACTCAATGTATTAGAGATCCAGAAAACCCCCCTGTGACTTTATTCTGAGAACATCAGAAGCAAAGGGCAATTCTCATTGATTTGCTAAAGAGGTAGAAAAGAAAATATTTCAAAAGCTAGTCAAACTCTAAAAGCAAGACATCCTATATCAGAAAGAAGGTAGGCTTTATTATCAAG